AGGCACCAGGCTGCCTACCTAAGGAACTGCTTATCACATCCAAAATCAGTTCCAAAACTCATCTGGGCTCAAATTAGCCCCTAGGCCTTCAATATCAGGAAAGAAGGCGGCCACTGCCGTTCATACCAAAGAAAGAAGGTGGGTTCAACCAGCTTGGCATGCCCTGCCCACTCCCATCTGAATCACAAGCCTACCAGATGACTTGCACATATAAAACAACCATCACTCTCCTCGCAAGAGGCAGAGCCTCCCTACCAGCTGACCTCAAACCCAGGCCGATTTCAGGAAGACGCTTTCACACGCTCAGATACACCCAACAAAGTGCATGCACATGTGAATCCCCACTCAGTAGGCTCCAACCGAGAAGGGGGCTCAGCAGCCGGCTAGGACTTAATCCTTCCAGACAAGACCAAGAACAGAAAGCTGCTGCCTTCAGTTCATAACAAACCTTCCCGCTGAGGAGGAGCAGAAGGAGGAGGAGGAGATGGCAACTGCTCCCTCTCGGGCTCCAGGGAGACGAGAAAGCGGCCTATCTCCCTTCCACCACGACGAGGGAGCCCGGGGGCAGGAGTCCACCTCCTGCCGCAGCCGACGGCCGCCCAGCGGAACAGGTAGAGGCCCTAGCGGGACGCGCGGTTGCCTCCTACTTCGACTCAGCTTGGGGCTGCACCAAGGGGCCCCGCAACGCGCAGGCGCGGAGGTTTATTCATTTAGAGAGCGAGATGGAGGCGCCGAAGTGGGCGGAGCCAGAGCGCGCGAGGCCAAACAGGGTAATTGACTCCGAGGCCAAAGCAAGACGGAAAGACTGAGGGGTGGAAGGGGCGTGGCCGAAGGTGTTGCGCCTTTCGGTGAGATAAACGTACAGCTGTAGTTCACCCTTCCCAACCTCCAGATGCATTGGACTTCAACTCCCATCATCCTCTCGCCGAAATAGGGTTTATGGGAGTTAATCGAACACACCTAAGGGACGCCAGGCTGGGGAAGGTAGTTATAAATACCCTCCTTATGCTTGCGTAATTGATTATTTAGCAAGTACATTTGATTTTTTTTTTTTTGGAATGATGTTTCTCCCGCAGAACCAGAAATTAGCCTGAACAGCCACTTCTGATAGACTTTTTAGGGCACTTCAACAAATGCCTACTCAGAATCAAGCTCCATAGGCCCAGTATCGATAAGCCCATAGGACAGATAAAAGCACCCTTAGATCTACCTTGCAATGGAAACTGGCTTTGCTGACTTGAGTTTATTTTACAGTGAAAGGACAACCCAACTGATGTTTTTGATCCTCCGTAGTTTTTTATACTTTCTTAAACCATATTCTTCAGGACGCTCTGGATTGATTGCAACCTTGTACATACAATGGGTTATACATTGTGCTAAGTCTTAATGTAGCTTGAGTATGTACAGTATGAAACCAACTACAGTGGTTTGCAGAGCAAGGTTTATGTAGCAGTGAAATGTGCAATAATTCCATTTGTTTAGATCAGTGTTTCTCAGTCTTGGGAACTTTAAGAAGTGTGGACTTCAACTCCCAGAATTCCCCAGCCAGCATTCTGGGAGTTAAAGTCCACACTTCTTAAAGTTCCCAAGGTTTGAGAAACTGGTTTAGATGATTGACTCCAGATAATGCAATGGCTCACCACAAATAACTGCTAGAAGCTGTAAATGAGCAACATCTGGAGGGCCACAGAACTCTCCTTTATTCCATATTGTATTATTAAACATGTGCGAATCTGCTAGGTAAAGCCATCCCGTGAGATGGATGAATCGCCAATAGGACCACAATGCACACCTTTCTCTTTTTTTCCTTCTTGCTCAATATAGGTGAGAGTGCCAAATTCATGTTTCTAATGTGGCTTCTGTAATTTTAGCTTAGTGTGATAGGTTGTGTTAACCTAACAAGGTGCTTTGTAAAGTAGATTATTATTATTATTATTATTATTATTATTATTACTACTACTACTACTACATTCGATTTATGTCCGCCCATCTCCCCCCAATGGGGAACTCTGGGCGGCTCACAAAATACATATAATACAATTATACAATTAATTACGCTGTGTGACCGGCAGGGGTCGCTAGGGGGTCATCTGGGCTCTTTCCTTCTCCGTAGATCTTCCTTGCTGCTCACCGCTCATGCCGGCTGCAATCGGAGTTCGGCCAGCACCGTTATTTTCCCCCCCTGCGCAGCACCGCCGGTTCCTCCCATCTAAATGGGAGTCCCCATTTATCTACTCGCAGATGGAATAGCTTTCGAATTGCTGGGTG